TTTTGTAAAAAATCAATAAAGCGTCATGGATGAAATACTACTGTATGGAGCTTTTTTATGCCTTAGAGATTTATGCAGCACTGTATTGATGCAGGTCAACTCGATTCACTTGTTACTTTCATAATGCATTTGTAAATCTATGCTCAAGGAAAATAAATTACCTGCTACTGTGAGTGTGGGGGTTATCCTTCTTTAAGAGGTTACATAATGCATTTCCTTTTTCCTTTCAGCTGGATACATTCAAATGAACACTTTATTCAAATCACTTAAAACGTGAGGAACCTGGAGATGGATTCAAGAAGAGATTCTAAGGAAAAAAATCCTATGATTAAAATCTTTATTTGGGATTAATAATCCTAATTTAAGTAAAATTTGAATTCTATTTTTTAAGAGCAGTCTTTAAAAAGTTAAATTGAAGAAGACAAGAACATACAGTGGGTATAGAAAATAATCACCCCCTTGAAAATAAACATTTTGTTGCTTTGCAGCCTGAAATGAAGACAGATTTTGTTTTATCCAGCTGTATTTACTCACTTATAACATCCAAGTGAAACATATAACACTAACATGGCAGAAATAAATAAATAAATAAAACCGAATCACTGAGTTGGAAAAAGGATCACCCCCTCCTAAAAATGACTTGTAAACTCAATCAGGTGTAGCCAATCACCTTAATATCACACAAAGCCATTTGACTTTCAACTGTGATCAGATGTGGTCATTTTGATTAGCTCAGCATGAAAGGAGCTTTCCTGGAGCATTTCAGTCCTTGATAGTGCAGCTGAAGCAAACAATCAACTATGGGTGGCAAGGCACTGTCAAAAAGCAGGCATAAAACCGAATCACTGAGCTGGAAAAAGGATCACCCCCTCCTAAAAATGACTTGTAAACTCAATCAGGTGTAGCCAATCACCTTAATATCACACAAAGCCATTTGACTTTCAACTGTGATCAGATGTGGTCATTTTGATTAGCTCAGCATGAAAGGAGCTTTCCTGGAGCATTTCAGTCCTTGATAGTGCAGCTGAAGCAAACAATCAACTATGGGTGGCAAGGCACTGTCAAAAAGCAGGCACAAGTCAGGAGATGGATACAAAACAATTCAAAGGCTTTATCAATTCCTAGAAGCACAGTGAAGTCTATTATTAAGAAGTGGGAGGTATTTGATACAACACAGACCTTCCCTGGGTCAGGACGTCTCTCCAAACTGGATGAAAGAGCCGGAGAAAACTGGTCAGACAGGCGACCAAGAGACCTACAGCAACTCTGAAGCAGTTGCAGGAATTTATGACAGCGTGGTCATTGTGTGCATGTGACAACAGCACAAATTCTCCACAAATGTGGCTTGTATGGGAGTGTTGCAAAAAAAAAAACTCCTCAAGAAAGGCCACATGCAGTCACGACTGAGCTTTGACAAAACGCATCTTGAAGATTCTGAGGCAGAAGAGACTAAAATTGAATTATTTGGCCTCAACACCAAACATGTCTGGCGGATATCCAATACAGCTCACTATCCAAATAACAGTATTCCTCCAGTAAAGCATGGAGGTGGTAATGGCCTGTTATGGGGGGGTTTCTCTGCAGCAGCGACTAGAGCACTTGCATGGGAAAAAATGGATGGGGCAAAATAGCATCAAATTATTGAGGAAAATCTGCTGCCCTCTGCAGTTGTCAATGGGAAGAAGGTTTACCTTCCAACATGTCAATAACCCAAAGCTCACAGCAAAACTAAGGGGTGAAGATCAAGCAGAGCAAATGCCTTTGACTTGATTTGAGACATTCTACCTCATTCTTTGTCCAACAATGTCCTCTTTCTTCCAGTCAGGCCAGGATTTGCAGTTGTGAGTAGAAGAGTCACTCACATGAACTATGTGTATGCAATGTAGGCTACTGTTTATGTACCTTAAAAAAACTATGATAATTTATTTTTACATTCGATTATTGCATACAGAATTCATGGACAAGCACATTTTAGGATACCGGACAAAACATTTTTACAGTAGGCTACATGAAGGCATTTCATTTATTTTGAATAATCACTCAAATTATTAGATTATTAGGCTGCACGAAAACTTGCATTTACAGGTGTGTCAGTAGGTGGCGAAAGTGACCGTCTTTATGAGGGAGTCACTGAATCAACCGATTCTTTCTGAACTGATTCATTCTGGAATGAATCATGTATCTTTAGGCTTGTTCGAGATGCATCGGCGCTGCGCAGACCGATCGGTGTATGACATCAAAGTATCGCGAGAGCAATTCAATAGTTTAAAGAGTCGTCTGCTCTCCAATCACTCTCGCGGTACTTTGATGTCATAATCCGATCGGTCTGCGCAGCGCTGATGCATCTCGAACAAGCCTTTTGTGAGTGAGCAAGTGGATCTTTCACAACCAGTTTGTCAAAAAACGCTGATTCATTTAGCTACAGAACAAATGTACACAGGCTTCACAACAGATGCAGGGATAAAACGCTGTTATGTGTTCAAAACCGTGCAATACTGAGTTGAAGGCCAGAAATGGGTGAATGTGTCTCATTTATACTCCCATCCATCTCAGTCTTAGTTCATTTAAGATGAACAGCAATGTTGAATTTGTCCACATTTTGTTCTTGTTGGACAGAGTCTCTTATTTTGTGCTGAATGAATCTCCTCATTTTTGTCAGCATTCCACTCAGTGGTCTGAAATGACCCGGGTTTCATTCTTAATATTGTAGTGCTTCACAGAGAAGACTTGTGGCTGTAAAACCCCACAGCGTCATAAAGGAGTCTGTATCCAGAGGTCAAGTGTTTTTCTCAATGGTTCATGCTGGCCCAACCTCACATGAACATTCCCTTGGGATTGAGTGCAACAATTTATGGATTTTTTTACTGCCATTGCACATTCCAGCTTTTAGAAATATGATTGCAGTTCCAAGTTTTATGATAATCTGGTGTGGTTAGAACATGAGTCAAGCAACCAGGCTTGAAATTAATCTTAAAGAGTCACAAACATCATATGAGTCAAATGAATCCCAGCACTCAGTGCTTAGCATCTTATTTTGTGACACTTTCTAGCCTAAATAATTCATATCAAGAGTACTTTTATCACAGACACCATGCCTTTTAAACACAGAAAGATGTCTTCCAAATTCCTAATCAGTCTGTTCTATTATCATTTGGAAAACTGCACTGAATATGGCCACTGGCCAAAGGCGGATTATTTGAATGGCACTCAGCTGTTTTCCAGCTGTTTGAGAAACTCTTATTTTTTTATTTTTTTTAAAAAGCACCTCAGGTTTTTCCTTTCTCAGATACGTTTTCACTTAATTATTGAAATTCTATGGTAGTAGGCAAAGCTTTCCGCCTTAAGAAATCCAAATCCCAGTTGTGCTTAAGAGTTATACTATAAAAACCTTCACAGTTTATGCATACTGAATAAGAATTTTTTTTTTTCATGCATAATGACATGAGAATATTGAGAATATAGGATCTTTGCATTAAGCAATATGACTTTGTGACACATTGTGTTTGTTTTCGGTAAATGTTTTAAATATTTGTGCATTTGTGACATATTGTTTGAGCTTGGTTTTTCATGAAGTGTAATCTTAGTGTAATCTCCACTCGAATGTGTTAGACAAATGTGTGTTGTATGTGGTCATGCTGGGTTCTCATTTGTTTGCTGGTGTGTTGGGATTGTTTTTATGGAATATGGGCTTTAGTGATAACAGATGTCCTCTAATTAGGCATTTCTAATGCCGTTTTAATCGCCTAACCCCACATAAATTCCAATGCATTTAGGAATCAAATGATAAAATATAGGATGATGTATCCATTTGCATTGTTTTGTCTTATATTTGCGTATGTATGTATTAAGGTTGTGCCGATAGACGATAGTATCGTGTTTTGACGATAGAAAGAGATATCGCCTTTGACGATGTTTCTATTAATTTGTTATGTTAAATACAAATTCAGTCATATTAAAAACATTAGGCTGCTTTTAGCCTTACGCTGGAGTTGGTTTACTTTCTCGCAACGAAACTAAGTAAATAATTACATAAATTAGCACGATAATATCGTGTATCGGCGATCTCACAGGCTGAGGATAGGACGATATGAAAATTGAGCATATTGCCCAACACTAGTATGCATTTATTTTACAAATTTGTCTGATTCATGCTTTTTTAATGTTTATTTTGCTAAAATTTTATCTTATTTTTGAATTCATAAATTGTTTATACAAATTAGCTTCACAGAGGGAGTCCTCCGTAGTCATTTAGCAGATAATGAAATTAGCCATAGGCAGCAATTTCTTCTTCTTTTTTTTTTCAATGCAAACAAGTTTGTCTAATTCCTGCCTGAAATTAGTATTTTTCTTATGCATTCAGTTTAATTGCATGCAGTTGTTTCAAAGCAAAATTTAACTTACTGTACCAGTTTTATATTAAGATTGTAAGCTAAAATGTGTTTAAAAATTGTACTCACAACTGTCTTTTGAACATTGATTTAAGACTTCCATTAAAAAGATGAACTGCAGGGAGTAGTTGGGCCATGTTGTTGGGTCCTGTGTGACTGCAGCAGATATACAAGTTCAGTCATTTTAGCTTGTCTTATTTATATGCACCTTGAGTACACACTTAAGTAATTACATGGACATTATAAGGATAATTATAAGGATGTAAATATGGAAGCATTTTATTGTACTAACAAATGATTTAATGCCCTGTCAGATCAAACAACACATTAATGAATGTAAATTAATCCTTTAAAGGCACAGACCGAACTGGCAAATTAACATATTCATCACGTCAGAAGGCTGTAAATCATAAAGCATTGTTTGCAAATATTCTACACCAACTTACTGATAAGGAATACATGCGTAAATTCACATTTCCTAAGTTCACATTTTTGTTCCTAGATGCTTTAGACTGATAATAGTGTGTAGATTTTGCCTGATTCCTCATTTGAATGCATTTTTTTTTAATCCACTTTGTATAATACTTTCTTCTCTTTTTCTCCTTTTCACAGCTCAAAACTGCAGTCACACACTACACAGTCCAAATGGGACAGTAGAAAGTCCCGGATACCCGTATGGATATCCCAACTACGCCAACTGCACGTGGGTGATTGTGGCACAGGAACACAACCGGATACAGTTGGTATTTCAAGGCTTTGCCTTAGAGGAGGACTTTGACATCCTCTCAGTCTACGATGGGCAACCTAGTCCAACAAACTTACGGACACGGTAAATACAGAACATTTGATCATATTGTGTGTGTAAATGCCAGATCCAATCTCTTGGAATTGCTAGCTGACATTACTTTGCTAACAGTTTGAACTGTGTGAACTCTGTGCGTGAACTTTGGATTTACTTAAGTGTCCCATAACTTGTTTAAAGTGCACTGAAAGGAATGAAAATTTCGTTTTAGGAATGTGTCTATAATGTTTTGAACATTGAAGTCCACAAATTGATTTAGCACTTTTGACTTTATCGCTGTCTTGAGTCTGAATTTCTCCTTTGCATACTATGAAAATAAGAAGAAAATAATAGGATTGAGGCTCAAGGGATTGAGCAGAGCAAATATCCTCAGGGGGAGTGTCCTTGGGGCCTTGGCCTGTTTTCCATTCGAAAGCTAGCATTTTGAAAAGCTTGCCTACATTCATAGATCCCTTCCCAGATAGAGGATCTATGAATGAAGTGGAATGAAACGAGTTCTATAGAAAACAGTGTGGAACTCTGTAAATTTGTTGCTTTTTCCCACCCTTTTTTGTCACCTTTCTTTATTTTTTAATATCTGTGTGGGAAACGATGTGCACAAGGACACTTTCAAGATATTTTTTTTTTCTATTTTTTTATGCGTCAAGATTCAAGGACAGCTTTCTGCACAGCCCCACGTTTCCATGGTGTTCCTATGAATGTTAACCTTGTTCAGCATGGGCAGTTTACCCTGCCAGTGTATTATTAGTGTCAGCTGAACTCCATGTCTTAAAGAAATCAAAAGGATATTGCGACTATTCCAATAGGATGTTGTTTTATGATATTGATATTACGTGAGGAAGTCAGTGTTGCTGTACTAGTCGTAACGTCACACAAGAAGTCAATGAGTTTGAGCAGTGGTGTGCTTCTAAAAATCTGTTATGCATTGGAATGTTTTTAATGTTAGTGAAAATTATTATAAAGTGATACACTTCCATTCAAAAGTAAGATTTTTTTTATTCAGCAAGGATGCATTAAGTTGATCAAAAGTGACATTTAAGACTAACAATGTGAAAACTGATTTATATTACAAATAAATAATATGTATATCTATTACAAATAAACAAATGTTGTTCTGAACTTTCTATTTATCAAATAATCCTGAAAAAAAGTATTTTTTTCCACAAAATTGTTAAGCAGCAAATGTTTTCAACAATGTTTCTTGCACACCAAATCAGCATATTTAATTGATTTCTGAAGGATCATCATTTACGGTACTTTTGATCAAATAAGCATCCTTTTAAATGGTAGTGTAACAGATTGTAAAGTCATATTTGGCAGAATGTTTGCAACATTGGTTGCGCTTTGAAAATTAAAAACCGACATTTGCAGTTGAGCTTTGAAGAAGCCAAGCTAACCATTTAACATAGTAACATAATGTCACATAGATAACGCTTATTACTACTGTGAAGACAGCAGACATGGGCATTAAAGTTAAAGAGGTTTATTGTGCTGTGCAGCGGGATGAATTTCTTGGCCTGAGATCATTCAATATCACTCGCATAGTCTGCTGCAAATGAAACATACCATTCCTCCCATGTGCTAACTGAGTTAATGACACTTTTTTTTTTTTATTCCCTCTGTCCTAAACGAGATCCCATTGGCTGACCCTGCCGTTCCACTACTTTTTTTTTTTTTTTTTTGTTCACTGTGAAATAGGTCCAGTGAGTCATTGCCACATATTACCATCACTCTAATATCTTCAATCTCTGGTTTGATAGGGCTTACCCAAACACATTTATGATTTAACTCATCCACAAGTCTTCACCCTTATCACACAATACCATATTATCCCTCCTAATTTCTGTTGAATCAGTTCTCAGCTAAAATGTAATCACCCTTGAGATTATTTGGTTTGAGAGCTGATTTAAATAAGTGCTGTTTTATCCACCCAATTATTAATTTGCATCTGAAGCTGTTTGCTTGTTGTGGGTGGATTTGAATGCGTTGTGTGAAGAATACGACTGTACAAAAGGCCTTTGAGTCAGCTTGTGATATTTGCCATGTAGTGTTTCCATTGTTCTACTTTGAATCTTAGTCAGGACTGTCAGCTGATCCTATTTGTTCTTCAACAGGTGTGTGCTATCATAAAACATAAAAACATGTTTATGCTTGCAATTAACTGCTCACAAGTTTTCCAGTCTCCCACATAAAGAATTTGCTTCTTGATTTTTTTTGTACTGCGGTACTGTACCAGAGATGTTTTAGTAATATTATTTATATACTATAGTATTTATTAATATTTTCTACTAGATTATTAACATTTTAATTTTAATTATATTAATTAAGTATTTAATGATATTAATTATACTTTTTAATATACATTATCTATTTAGCTTTATTTTTATTTGAAGTTTTAGTTTTTGTAATTTTTGTAATTAAACTCGTTTCATTTAGTTAATATTTTATTATTCGAGTTTCAATTAACCAAAGCTATATTTAGCAGTTAGCTAACAAAAACAACACTGCATTGCATTTTTTAACACCAATAATGGGCAGGAATAACATATTAACTTAACACACAAAACCGTTTATGGGTAATGCAATATCTGATATTAGATATTATCTCTGGAAAGGCATTAACCAGTCAGCTGACATCCTTGACATGTAGGTAAAGATTTCAGTAACTGTCACCCTAATTGGTGCTGTGCAACTGCTGATGTTGTGAAGGCATCTGGGGGGCATTTTTTTATATAGATTATACTGTCATGAGGGTGATGGGTATATAATGTATGGATATGTTGTTTAGACATCGGATTGAGGACACACCAGTTTCCATGTTGGTGTTTCCTTGCAAGTATTTGCCCTTTATATAATTGGAGCTCCTACAACAGTGATTATCTACTTTTCCTGCAGAATTTAGTTCCAACACACCTGCTTGCAATTTTTGAATGAGTGGAAAGACCATTATTTACTGGTTCAGGTGTTTGTTAGAAATGAAACTGAACTCTGCAGGAAGCCGGATCTTCATGAGCTGGATTGAGCTAAAACATTTACACTCCATATGAGACAGAAACTGAGCTTTGGCTTAGTCCCATCATCTTACACAGGTTTTCCAAATCCAACTACAGCGATCTCCTGCGTGAAGCTCAAGGACTGCCTCTTTTAAAGGGATAGGTCATCCCAAAATTAAAATGTTCTAATAATTTGCTCACCCTCATATCATTCCAAACCTCTTTCTTTATTATGTGGAACATAAAAGATTTTTTTTGAGCATACATTGGAAGTGTTGAAACCAAAACTGTTTGGTTTCATCATTCTTCAAAATATCTTCTTTTGTGTTCAACAAAACACAATTTTCAAAACACAAAAAACCAAAGTGTGTTGATTAATAACTGTTTGATGAATTACTGCTGTTTGATAAGCTGTTTTTATTTTCATATTATTCGATGGCTGATTATTCAACACAATTCTACATTTTCAACAAAATAAATTAAGAAGTTAAGATAAGTTAAGATTTAAAATGTTAAAAGCTAAAATCAAATTTAAATACTACACACGTGAATTTAGACATTACATTACAGTTTGAAAAATGGATATTCATTTTGATATTAAATGTATTTAAATAGTTTTAACATTAAATTATTAGTGTATTTGAACAAACTTAAATTATTAATATTTTTATATCTTTAGACTTAAACTTAAGTGATTGTTAAGGCATTCACACCAAGAACGATGACTATAAAAACCTATGAAATTATAACGATTAATATATTAGCGTCCGCAGAAATAGATGGTAACATTTTCTATTACAATATCTCTAAACTATTTATGTCAGTATTTTTTTTTTTGTTCATCATGTAGAAAAGAAACATTCTGAAAGTATCATTCCTCTGTTTCAGTATTGTTATACAGCAGATGTCAAGTGCACTTTCTTATTCTCACAGAATTAGAATGAGTATTAAAACTTTATAGTTAAAGTTATCATTATAGTTATTGTCATTGATGTGAACAGTCTTTTAGATGACAGCAAAGGTAGTTTAAAAGTAAAAGTAGGCACTCAAAAGTAGGGCTGTGCGATTTGGGGGAAAATATCAAATTGCAA